TACAAGCACTGCTTGTACGTGATATTTTGGTTTATCATTAAACAATGGGCTAAGGAAAACAGGTTTGATTTTTTTTAAAAGAGGTGTGCTAAAAAAATAGCCACTTTATTTTTAATGCTCAAAGCTTTTAAAACAAATAATCAACACCTTGATATGAATGTAATTAATACAACCCATCTTTTAATATTTAACCAAGCCATAATGAATACTGTTATTCTATTTTTTGCTCATATAAACTTAATAAATTTTTTTTTTTTTTACTTCTTGTTGCTGCAAAGTAACTTTCGCTAATGTTTCTATAAGTTGTTGCTATTGCAACAAAAAGTTAATATTGGTAAAATCATTAAAGGGAGAAGCCAACGTAACTGAAGCTGAAGATTTGGTAGTCAGTTAAACAGAATTTTTTTATTGGACTTTTTAGACATTTTAGGCGGCATAATGAAGATCGTGATGACACTCAAGCATCACAACCAATGGCGATATTTATAGAATTAAATGCTTGAGCATGATCATTCTTTAATCAATTGATTTAGATACTTGAGAATGGCCTAAGTCCAGTATATTATAAAAAGTTTGAGTATGGCATTCTTTTGGCGTCACTTATATATTTAGTGGGTATTGATAAACAACTAATGGGTACCCATGATACTACTTTAGCCCTACTCTAGGCCCTACCTGTTTGTGTAAGGGCTTTATTTTTAAGCCTTTACCCTACCCTAGGGCCCAGAAATCAATACCCTAACTCGGCCCTTATGGTACTATTTGCGGATATCCATGGGTATCCCAGGCCCATACAGAGGCCTAATTAATTATAATATAAAGAAATTATTAGAACTATAGAATATAATTTTGCATAACCAAAATCTCAGTGTTTTTATAACTTTTATTAATTTAATAAATTAAATATTATATCATTAAAGAATCAAATAAAACTAATTCTAAGATAAGGAGCTTATAATAATAAATTACAATATGATTATAATAAAAAAAGCTTTGCTTTACTTCTTGCAATATTTCATATTGTAGCCACTTGTACTTTATCTTGATTTTCTGTCTTCTCTCTTATTTAAATATCTTGAATTTTAGTTTTTCTTCTACATATACCTGTTTTTTGATTTCATGTTAATTTGTTAATTGTATTTGGCTAATAAGCTTTAACCAATAAACTAGTTATTAACAAGTAATTATTTTCTTTAATTATGAGATTACTGTGCCAATTTCAAAGATCTACTTTTAGTCTATCTCTTACTCCATTTTGCAGGCAAATTTGTTTGCAATTTGCATTTTCTTAATAAATTATTAATCTAAAGTTTATTGTATCTTAAGAAGACTAATTCATTTTGTTTAATAATACAAGAAAAATCTTATTCTTTTTAGCACACAGCCTCTCTATCATTTTATTTCTTCGTTCACTTTTTTGGGGTTCTTTAAAAATCATATTCTTGTATTGCCTCAAAATGTCTGACATGATTAAATATTAATAATCATCATTAGAACTTAACAAATTATCTAATATAAATTAATCAAGATAATAAATTATGATTAGCAATAAATAAATTAAAAATTATTAAATCATGATTATTTTGGCATTAACAATAAATAAATTAAGAATCAATATATTTGACATTAGTGATAAATTAATTAAGAATTAATATATTTTGGCATTAATGATAAATAAATTAAGAATCAATATATTTGACATTAGCAATAAATTAATTAAGAATTAATATATTTTGGCATTAATAATAAATAGATTAAAAATTAATAAATTGTAATCATATTTTGGTGTTAGCAATAAAGTAAATTAAGAATTAATAAATTACTATTATTATTAATTAAATAAATTAAATAATTAATTGATATAAGATATATCACTAAAGTTTATATATAAAGTTATTTTTCTTTATTCAGTATTAATAAAATAATGCCAACATATTCTTTAAGTTTTGTCATAATAAATACTAATGCAATACACTGGCGTAAGCAAGAAGCTATTAGCAGTAACTTAGATAATAATATATCAAAATCATCAGAAAATGAGTTCAAAGTATATTTTTTGCAAGGCAACCATGATGAATGTTTACTAAGCGATTCTTTAATAGAATTTGAAAATTTAACCTTAGATAATAAGTATATATCTATGGAAATAGAAGTATCTAATTCTCAAAAAGCTTCTTTTAATAGAGATCAAGCATATAGTAAAAGAAGATTATATAAATCTAAAGTAAATAGAAGTAGTCGTAGTAATAATTCTTTTGTAGCAAAGGCTAGTCAACAGGCAAATATTCAAGAACTATCAAATTTTGTACCTTTACAACACAACTATGAAAAAAGATATTCTGTACTTCCTAGCCATTTTTATTTAACTGAAAAAATAACATCTTTAATATTATTCTATGAGTTTTTTACAGTTAATTCTCTTATGCAAATAGTTAAATCAACAAATAAATATTATTTTATTAAAAATCCTTCAGGTATAGGACATCTATAGAAAACTCTTAATATTAATAAACTTCGAATTTGGCTAGCTATTGTTATTTATATAAGCACTTATGGAATTTCTTCTCATGTGTTTCTTTGATCAAAACCAAAATATTATATTACAGAACTAATGACACTAATGAAATTTGAACAAATAAAACATTATCTACATATATCAGATTCTACTGGATCTCATCCTCTATAGTATTCAAAAATTAAACCTCTTGTATCATCTATTCAAGAAACTTGTAAAAGATTATTTATACCAAGTTCAAATATATCTATAGATAAGATGTTTGTTTGTTTTTCTGGAAAAAGTGTACATACTGTTCATATGAAAAACAAACCTACTTCTGAAGATTATAAAATTTTGTCTTTGTGTGATTTAGAATATATATGGACATTTTTTTTTTCATCACGTATTGAAAAAGCATCAAACTTATCTGATATTTCAGGAATTAATGAAATAGAGTGGCATGTTTGTTATTTAGCTTTTTAACTTCTACTTGCAACACATACTTTTTAATATATATGGATAACTTTTTTATATCAATTTCATTATTTCAATATTTGCAAACTAAAGGTATTGGTACATGTAGAATAGTTCATACAAATTCTGCAAATTTTCAAAAGAATTAAAAATACAAAATATTAAATCTTTAAAATATGATTCACTTCTAGAAGTAGTTGTAAATGATGTATTAGCTATACTTTGGATCGATAATGGGCCAGTTAGTACTATCCACAAAATTACTAGTAATGAATTTCGTATTCAACATTTATATTAGTGTCCACATAAAACTAGCTTAAATGCTAAAAAAGTTAGATCAATTTTTGGTAGTTCTTTACGAAAACAATTACTAATTTCTAAAATTGTTGATAATTATAATCATTATATAAGAGGTGTCAATATTGCAGACTAGAGATGTTTATATTACCTTTCTCAACTTACAACTTGTAGAAATTGGCCTTCTTTGTTTTTTTTGGTTACTTGACACTTCAACTATTAATACATATCTAATTTATTTAAACTTAAATTCTACATATCATAATACACTACTTAGTAGTAAAGAATTTTGTAATCATCTTATTTGGGAGCCTATACAAGATGCATCAAGTGAATCTAATTCAAAAAAGGATATAGCAATTAAGCAGTAAACCTCCTATTCGAAAACTATGAACTTTCAGCATACCATCGAATTTCTAGAAATCATTTTTTAGAATAGAGAGAAGATTGAGAGGCATGCATTTGGTGCCGTTATCTTGAGAAAGAAAAAAAAAATAAAAACCCTTTGCAATCAAATTTTTGGTTTCACAAATGCAACATTCCATTATATTGCAACAAAGCAAGACCACACTGTGTTTCACACACATAAGAAATAATATTAATGATATTATGTATATGTATATAGATATGTATGATATGATATATATGGCATTAACATTTATTTATTTTAACATTAATAAAGTTTGCCTTATTAATTAATTGCTAAAAATAAATATTAATATATCAAATAATACATAATTTGTTAATAATTATTTTTTCTGACAATCATTTATGGTATTAATTTTCAGACTTTTGACTATATATACATAATGCTGATTAACTATGCAAATAATTTTAGGGAATTAAAAATGTAAAGATGATTGGGTATCTATCTACTGGCAATTCGGCTTATGGAGTAAGGAATAACAATATAGAGCAGTGTTAATAAAAACAAGACTTATAATATTTTTCTATTTTATAAAAATCATATTTAAAATTTTGTATAACAATAATAGTAATGATCTATTATTAGTATAACCTTTTAAACTGATATTTGTTAGCCAATTTTACAAATTTTTTTCTATGACTTTGCAGCAAGGATCAACAACCAGAATCCAAATTTTAATTTTAGTTTATGTTTAATCATATACAGTATTTCAAAAAAAAAGCATTGGCAAAAATTTTATTATGTAAATCAATGATTTAAATATCAAATTATATAAAAAAATTCCTGCTTTATATAATAGTATAGTTAACTTATTTTTGCAAAAAAATGCCATAAGTCTTGTTTTAGTTGACACTGCCTTATATATTAACTTTAATATAATCTCTTGTTAATATCACTATCATCGGAAAAAATTTTTTTGTGCTGTTCTGCGCAGATTTGCAAAAAAATTAAATAATATATTAAATGAAAATCTGTGCAAAACTTCAGACTCACCA